CAGTCAGCAGTAGCAGTAGCAGCAGCGGCAGCAGCAGTAGCACTAGCAGTAGCAGTAGCAGTGGCAGTAGTAGTAGTAGTAGTAGTAGTAGTAGTAGTAGTAGTAGTAGTAGTAGTAGTAGTACGCGTACGCGTACGCGCGTAGTGCATATTTGACGCTGCGTTGTCGTGCACGTCGCCTGCATAAAACACTGTGTTTTCCGATGTACGCAGGACATGGCTTGTCTCAGTCAGGGGGGCGTTGAATTTTGGATCAGGATAGTTGTCAGCAGTTGACTCAGCAGTGTCGGATCATGTGTTTTGTCAGCACCCAGTTCCCTGCCCACCCCCCTGCCAACCCCCCCAACCCCGAACCCCCCAACCCCCACCCCCACCCCCCAAGCCAAGCCAAGCCAAGCCAAGCCAAGCCAAAAATAAGTACTGAAAATTTGTTCCAAGGCCCTCACAGGAAAAGCAAGGCCCTCATAGGAAAAGCAAGGCCCTCATCGGAAAAGCAAGGCCCTTACACGAAATCCATAGACCTGATACGAACACCAGGGCCCTCGTACGAAATCCAAGGTCTCGTCAAACCCAAAGCACGAAGACATCCCCGCTCTCAAGCTGAAACCCAAATCCCACAGATAGAATTCCTAAGTCAAGGTTTTCAGAATTCAACGCCCCCCAGAGAGTTGCAGTAGTAGCAGTAGTAGCAGTAGTAGCAGTAGTAGCAGTAGCCGTAGCAGCAAAACTCGTACTCGTACTAGTATTAGTAAGTGTGCTGGTACTACTACCACCACTTCTACTATCACTACTACTACCACTACCACTACCACTACCACTACCACTACCACTACCACTACCACAACCACTACCACTACCACTACCACTACCACTACCACTACCACTACCACTACCACTACCACTACCACTCCCACTCCCACTCCCACTCCCACTCCCACTCCCACTCCCACTCCCACTCCCACTCCCACTACCACTACCACTACCACTACCACTACCGCCTACATTACAATACCACTACCACTAACACTTACCACCACCACCACGACCACTACTACTAACTATACTAAATAACTACTAATAATACTTACAATACTACTTACACTACCACTACCACTACCATAACACTCCCACTACCATACAAATACCACTTACCACTACCCACTCCACTACCACTTACCCCACCACCACCACCACTACCACTACCAATACCACTACCACTACCACTACCACTACCACTACCACTACCACTACCACTACCACTACCACTACCACTACCACTACCACTACTACTACTACTACTACTACTACTACTACTACTACTACTACTACTACTACTACTACTTCTACTCTACTACTTCTACTTCTACTGCCTACTACTACTACTACTACTACTACTACTACTACTACTACTACTACTACTACTACTACTTCTACTTCTACTTCTACTTCTACTTCTACTTCTACTTCTACTTCTACTTCTACTTCTACTTCTACTTCTACTTCTACTTCTACTTCTACTTCTACTTCTACTGCTGAGACGGCTGCTCCTTCTGCCGCTGCGGATACTCCTACTCTACTCCTACTCCTAGCTCTGCTGTTTCTAGTTGCACGTCTCACAATATGGACCTACTGCTATCGCTGCTCCACATACTCCCACAACTACCGCTGCTCGTATCTCGACATCAGCGTCCCTTGTAAAGTCGAAACTTTCGCTGTATCAGTGGCACAAGTCGCAGTAGTCATGTTGCCTGCTGCTAATGCCAACTGCAATCTGCCTGCGCCCCATGCTTGCCATCGTTGATCACCACACGGTAACCTGCTGTGGATGCGGGTATGTGTGAAGCTCTGGGGCCTATTTACACTCAGCGCCCTAAGCGGACCAGGTCCCAGCAATGATCATGACCGTAATGGAAGCAAGAGGGCAAACTGCAACATGTAGTGGTGATGATGACACCCGAAACCTGAACCACTGCGAGACCACATTCCCCGACTCATGATGGAAGGGATGGCGTAGCAGTCTACGACACGAGAAATCCCTAAACCTCAAACCACAAAGGCCAGCACTCCAAGCCCCTATGCCTAAAACATGAACCCAAAAAACTCCTCGGCCCGAGACCTTAGACCATCAAGCCTACACCTTAAATTCGAACAGAGAGGCCTTGCCTTCATCATGTGGGTAGTTGTTAAAATTATGGTCCCCTCTTGGGTACCCTAAATATTAGGTGCCGTATTATATCAGGGACCCAAAAAGAGATCCTAATTTTGACAACCACCCATGTATATCATGGTACTGCTAGACTGATGAGGAATACGGTTGATGATATGAATCCTGCATTGCCCATAATAAGGAGTATACCATAATTCCCATAGTTTAGGGTCCTTAAGGTACTGCAGGATTTATATCATCAGCAGTATCTCTGGAATATCTATTGGTAGTTTTTCAGGCAGAGGAAAGGAGGCCTTCAGTTCAAAGGCCTCTCTAAAGTGAGGGACGCAGCTCAGCTGAGGGCTTGGGGCTTGTAAGGTCACAAGGGCTTGTGAGCGAAGAAGGATGTTTGGGGTTTTAGGGATTGAAGAGTTTGGGGCCTAGAGTGTAGGATTCAGTATCGAGATTTCAAGGAAGGCTTTCTTTCGCATCTGCGGTGCTGTTGCGAACAGATCGGCTTTGTCCTACAAGCCCATGGAAGCCGGAGACTCCGAAACATGAGCAAACCAACCGGAATGGCGCCTCCATAAGCCTGAACCGTGCAGGGCGCCTACAGAATCTACTGAGGAGGTGGCATAGCCAAAAGAGGTTGCAAATTTCGAAGCTAATTCTATAGGCTACAAGCCTTCCAAGTCGGATTTATGCCCGGAAGTCCGTTTTGCTTGATTTGTGCCATCGGCAGACAGTTGTAATGACTATCTGTCTACCATAACTTATCTTCATATGCCATACCAAAAGTAAAAACCTTTCCTTCGCACGACTAAGAGCAAATATGGTCAATCGCAGCCATAAAGCTAGCCTTCAAAACAAGAGACCAGTATCCATCGCGGTCGCCTAGCGCCGGCTCTCGTAGATTTGGGTTTAAGGGGAACCCTAAAATCCAAAGCCTGAACCTTACACCCCAAACCCTAAGACAAGAATCGCTGACCTCGCCTTCTGGGCATTCCTCCTTGCCCACACGGCTTGCCACAAAGAGCAAGTGCCCAAGCAGAGCCTCTCGAAAGAGCGGATAGGGTTTAGGGTTTATGGTGGGGAATAAGGGGCTCCGAGATGAAGGCTTCAGAGAAAGTTCATGTCTGCTCTGATGGGTTTTTTGGGGGTTCAGGGACGTTTTTTCAAGGCTGAGGGTGGGAGGTCTGCGATGTCGGACTCCAAGTTGTAGGCTCATGGAGCGGGTAGGGTTCAGGATTTGGGTTACCATTTTGGGATAATATGGGCGTCTGATGGCTAGGGTGCTGGATCAACCCCACTGACGATTCGAGGCCAGAAACCTTCGTGGCCAGTGCGGCACTCCATAAACGGCAAGGATGCGAAGCCCGTCAAAAACGACTGGTCTTCTTTTCGCGGCTCTTGCACAGGTTGCGCGGCACTTCTGTAGCCGGTAAAGGTACTCTAATGAGGGCCAGGCCCTAGATGCTGTTGAACTATGATGGCCCGCGCGACGGCGAAAGCAGCCTGGGTGGGTTCTGATCAAGAACGTGTGTTCTCCAGCAATTGCTTTATTGCAAGTAGGCTTTGGCAGTAACATGCAAGTCTGGATGCTCTACGCGGGGCAACATCACGACATCCACCCATGTGGCTGCCGACAAGGCTGTTCGCTTGTCAGATACCCAATCGTCGCGCTGCGCATAGTGACTCCTCACACTGGCCACTGTATCCGCCAAGTTTATGGACACGGAAGCACATTGCGCTGCCGGTGTTGCAGGGCCGACCACCATGTCACGTGCAATACTACATCTCGTCACAGCCAGGTGTTCTTGAACACCCGCCCCTGTGCTGCGACCAGAAAGGAAACTGCCTATCAAAAGTTGGCTCTTCCCTGGGCCAACGAGCTCGAGGACTCATGACGGTTGCCATGGTCAGAATGGGATAGAGGTAGTGTATTATAGGATGTCGTTGCAACATGAATAGAAATGCCTGACGGCAACACGGACTGCCACAACTCAACAACGCCTAGACCGCAGATCGCCCCGCTTTCCACCCAGGCTACTCCAAAGACAAACGTACTTGCATGCATGCAAGCATACATACATACATACATACATACATACAGACAGACACACATACACACATGCATGCATGCGTGAACGTAGGGTATCAGTATATAGGTCCTCCGTGCCGAAATGCCTGCCCCAGGAAGACTTGACCCTAGTGGGCTGCATCTACAAAACCTACCATCTCACGTCGCTCCCGGCAGCGGCATGGCGACTGCTTGAGGTCCTGCGGATCTAAGACACTCTCCAACCGAGGCTTCGAGGACAAAGTGTGGCGGCTATAGTCATCTACAGTCCATCTTTTTCATCTTCGGGCTGATATGAAGGGTTACAAACGTTTGCGTGCAGGCACCAGTGTTTCTTATATGGCGAATCTACTGTGCAGCACAGCGCAGCAGGAAGTCCGGCCACAAGTGCACCACCAAGCAGCAGAGCCTGTGCGTACCAGGATTAAAGATTCCCAAAACGGAAGGCTTCATCAGTTTTTGCTTTAGAGCTCTGGATTTGGCCCACCTCCGCGCGAGTGTCAAGCACAAGCTCAAGAACTCCCATATCTTTCCATGATATGCTCTCTTCATGCTGTGGCTAAACGTGCTAGGAGCAACAATAGCAGGAGGCACGGGGACTCCGCAGCCCAAGTATTTCCACCGCCAAGTTCTGCTGTTATTGATCAGATGTGCCTTGCATTCGATAGTGCAGCACCGTCGGGCCTGAACTGGCACAGCCTTTTGTTTTCATTGGGCTTTTGCTCCACTCTCCTCCCTCACTCCTCCCCGACGTTTGCATCTAGCAGCAACGGGACGTGGATAACACCAGACTGTGTAAGTCACAGGTCATGAGGCTTGGCTTAGCTAAGAGAAGCAGTTCTCACAAACCCCATTGATGTTTACAGCCACCGGCAGCAGAAAATGAGTCCGAGGTTCGGCTACAGCAGCCCATGCATTGCATTCTACAGCACGAATAGCAGAAGCATGTTGAATGAAACATAACCGATTTCCACACATCACGTCATCTTGCAACATATCAACATACCTATCGTTCAGGATTGTGGATTTAGTCGACCTCAACATACTGCTGCCTTCAGCACAAGTCAGCCCCGAAGCTGCAATTCAAACTGCAAATTTGCCGTGCGTTGCTGCTGACTTCTGCTTTCGCCAGGAGGAGGATGGGTAGGTAGCAGGAGCAGGAGCAGTAGAAGTAGCAGCAGTCGTCGTAGTGGCACTAGCATATCAGCTGTCCATGAAGGCCCCCAAAGTCCCGCCCCCCGCTGCAACTCTGCAAGCCAAGGTGCAGAACGCTCACGAGGAAAGCCAGGGGCACGACCGCCTTCACCACCTTCCTCTGGAGCCTAGGGAGGATCGGAGGGGCATGCCATGAAATCTACATCCCGAATCTATAAGCAAGCAGCTGTCCATGCCCTACAGCCTGAAGCCCTAGACCCTGAACCCCTAGCCGCTACCCGAAAAACCTTCCGAAACTCTCAGGACCAAGCCTCTGCGTTCGACGCTGGGCCTCGGCGCGCTTCGACAAAGCTGCCGCCGCGCCTCCCAGGCTTGGGCTCCGGATGAGTGTTCAGAGCATCGAGGCCCTGAACCCTGAACCCTAAGCCATGTGTCGGAATTTACAATGTCTGGCATTCCGGAGGACACGGCCCTGTGCGGGAGCCGCCTTTCCTGGAACCTTTCGGTGCGCTGTACCGTTGAAGTTAGAACTCCATATAGTGTGTGCCGCATGCATGGCCAAGTAGCGAAACTCAATAGCGAACCTTGCCTTTATGTATGCATGCATGCACGTATAGGTGTACCGACGGAGTCATGAACTTGTTCGTATACATATACGTCTATACTCACCCTCATTGCGACTCGGCAACTACGAAGGTAATCAGAACGACCTGCACCTTGAATCCCCATCCCCGAAAACCCTACACTCCCAGAACTCCTTACGCCTGAAGACCTGAGCATGAAATCCCTACAACCTCATGAGCCTGGTCAAGCCTTATCCGAATGAAGCCAACAAGTAGGATTCTGATTCTCGGGGCCAAATTACGGACCCATACTTGTTAATGAATATCTAACCTCCAATCCCTAAACCTAGACCCTACGCCCTAAATTAAATCCTAAACCCTAAAACCCTCAAATCCCTCAACCCTAAACCCATGCAAACGCGTAAATCCCAAACCCCAAACCCTAAACCCCAAATCCCAAACCCTAAATCCCTCAACCCCTACCCCGAAAGTCCTAAGCGAGACTGGAGGAGGGCTGCCTCGCCCCTGCTTCTGATTTCCAGCACTGCTCCGAATCCTGGGGAGCTGGGGTCAGTCCGTAGGTTTGGGGTTATGGGGTCTGGGTTTAATCAATTAGGGTTTAGGGTTCATTGGGGGTTACGGGGTTTGGGTTAAGTTGCACTTAGGGTTTAGGGATTAGGAGGGTTAAGGATTTAGGGAGGTTTTAGTTTAGTTTTCGGACGTTGGAGGTTCAGCGGTGGATTCGAACCTTTGGGCTGTGCGGGTTCTAAGGGGCGTGTTCGAACTTGGGGCCGTCAGGATTTTTGATGACCTTTGGTTGCAGTTAGGCTGTTCTCAGTTCGATCTGCTGTAATTTGTAATGGAAGCTAGATTAAGAGAAGGCCCTTTTGAAGCCAATGTGGAGCGCCTGACCTGCTTGAAGAGGCTCTGAAGGTGGAGTCTCCCACATGTTGCGAAGCCTTGGAAGCTCTTGGCACTATCGAAAAACCTTGAGCACCACAGTATGGATCCATCAGCCTGCCAACTGCCCGGAAAACCCTAAACCCCGAGTGCTGCGTGCAGTCTCGGTTCCTGTGGACACATCAACCCTCTGAACTCTAAACTCCTAAACCTTGAACCTGAAACCCGACCGGAACCCCGAAACCCCTGGACAATGAATCTCTAAGCATCGCAATCCCCGACCGCTATATAAACACTAGCAATAAAATTTGTTGTTAGGGTTTGTATTATCAATAAATCCTAGCTCCTTTTAGCCAAACCGCTGACCACCAAACCCCTGAAATAGTCAACTTGCATATATGGCCATAGTAGTATATACATTATACTCTATACCTCATAAACCTATTTCAACGGTTAGAGCCCGCTGCATGAAGCGCTGGAGACTGAGTCTTGCGCCGGGAGAGCAGGGAGGATGCAGCCGCACGGTAGCGACTGAAGGGAGCTTTCACTCGGTTTCATGATTTCGTATTTGAGAGTTCCATCTCCGGCCCAGGCGCCTTATCGCCTGGTTACGCCTACAACAGCCTGTAAGCTATACCTTCCTGGCCTTTGAACTGGGCCAACCCTTAATTTTACAACCTGAACTTCAGGCCTAACTCATCATTCGCTCCTCATTTCTCCGTCCAGCCATGCAGCTACCGGAACCCTCAGTCGCCGCAGCCCTCAACCCGCGCCTGAAGCCCTCAAGCAGACAACCCTCATGGCTTCAGCCCTAGTTTTCGGAAGCCCTAAACCCTTATAGTACCCTTAAAACCCTAAACCCTTATAGAGCCCTTTAGAGGAAGTCTTATAGTACCCTGATAGTAACCCGTTAAAGGCTTCAGCACTCTCGGCGCAGCCTCTCCGGACTCCAATGGCGAGCCGGCGAGGCCTCGTCTGCAGTTATGTAGGAACCTGATTAAGAAACCTTGGACCTTTTATTCGGGTTCCTTTTGAAGGGGTCTACAAGAGTTACTATAAGGGATCTATACGGGTACTATAATAAGGAACCTGATTAAGAAACCTTGCACCTTTATGAGGGCTCCTTATATGAATCCTAGTATTTTGGGGTCATAGGCCCAGGGCTTCTGAATCAGGTTCCTACATTAGGTTGTTTAGGGCAGCTTAGGAGCTTGGGTACCTTTGATCTTGCGATGTCAGGGCTTCGCAAGACGGAAGGCTCCGTGGGATTGAGGTCCGTCGAAACGGCCCCGAGACGCGAAGAGGGGGCTGGGTGCCTGCAGTTTCGGGAAACTTGGGGTGCGCGGAGAAAGTGCGATCTCCAGGCGCCGATCTGAAAGTTAAGTCAGTCAGCACTGTAGCTTTCACTTCCCCACACACAAGCTCCAGTACCCTGGATCCTGTCTCCCCAAAAGTCCACACAAACTTCAGTACCACGAGCTGCCGGCAGAAGCGTCTTCGCTATTCCACAAAGGCTGTGCTCGAGCGCCCGCGGTCTTCAAAGCCTGTAGGAGAGCAAGGGGCCGAGAAACGGAAACGAGCCAGCAGGGTAGCGGGTTGGGACAGTAGAGAAGAGTAGCTAGCAGTTTAGGGTTTAGGGTTTAGGATGCCAGCATTCCCAAACCCTGAGCTGAAGCATAGGTTTGAGCTTCGGAGCTGCGTGGCTACACTCGGCTTGTCTGCCTCAGCTGGATGAGACAAGCAGCAGCACACAGGGACAGTGCTGCACCAGAAACACAAGCAGAGAAGTGTCAACTTGTGTGCATTTTAGAGCTGTATATTGGGTTAGAACCTACTATCTTATAGTACATTGTATCATGTTGTAGGGGCCGCTGCCAAAACGACCGAGCCCCCCTGGGAGTGACGATTACAACTTGCTGTCACTTGCTGTTTTTAATTAGGTGGTGACCCCCAACCCTCGCACTATATCTTCAAACCCTAAACCCGAGACCTTCAAACTCGGCCTTTGCAGCAGTTAATGCCCCAAATCCGCACTGTGCAACCGTTTGAACGGTTGATGTGGTTGGAATACCATCCCTTGTTGACAAAGTTAAGACCGTAGCACCTGGAATCAGAAAACTATGCTCAGGACATGACAGCAAGTTGTCGAATATTGCATCGGATGCAAAGGGATGCAAACATGCTCCAGTAGATGCTGGATGTCAGCAAAAGTGTACCATGGTTGTAGCAGACAGATTCAGACAGTATCCTTCATGGTAAGCTACCCGAAACCCTAACCCTAAACCCTAGACCCAATCAATAACTTCATGTTTGCCCTACCCTCAACCCTAACCCTAAACCCTACAACCAATTCATAACTTCAATGTTTGCCCTACCCTAGACCCAAACCCTGCACCCTACAACCAATCAATAACTTCATGTTTGCCCTACCCTAAACCCAAACCCTAAAACCCTACGACCAATTAATAACTTCAATCTTTGCCCTACCCTAAACCCAAACCCTACACCCCGTATCTGCAAGACTGCCGGAAAGCCCGAAAGGGGCGGGGGCCTCACATCCCCGAAGGTCGAGCAGGCACAGGCACAGCAGAGCTCCCAGGGCCTCCAAAGCCCAAGACCATATTTAAAGGGATCTATATGGGGTTCCTTAAAGGGATCTATGGGGTTCCTGGAAGGGATCTATGGGGTTCCTGAAAGGGATCTATGGGGTTTAGGGTTTAGGGCTTACTTGGAGGGGCAGGGGATTTAGTAAGTCGTTTATAAGTAGGGTTATAATTGGGGTAACTCCCTTTAGGGGTACTTATTGCTCTACTTATAACCTCTTACTATTACTAAGTCCCCTGCCACTTCAAGTCGGGGCGTTGATAATTAGAATAGGGCTCCTTTCAAGGGCTTAGTATAGGGGATACGACAAGGGATCTATAAGGGAGGTCTAATATAGGGGCCGATAGTTAGAACGGGGTTTTGGGGCCCATTGTACTATACTTATGGTAAGGAACCGCCGAAATTGGAATTGGTAAACATTTATGCCCTTATATTAATGTCACGGAAAGCAGTGCGTTCGATGCTGCGGGCGGGGCTTCGGGCTTTGGGTACAAGGTGATCTCGAAGCTTTGAGCTGAAGGATCAAGACTCCAGAGGCCTCGTATGGCCGAGGGGTGTTTTGCTCTACTTAAAGGATCATGGGACTTAGTAACAGGGGGGTTATAAATAAGGTAACTATACTTATAATTCCTTATAGCCCCAATTAAGGTGCTCATAACCTTACTTACTAAGTCCCACGATCCTCCAAGTAGGGGGACAAAGACTGGGAGGGTAGAGCAAAGGCTGCAAGTGAAGCTGAAACCTCAAACATCCTCAAACTCTCTGCCTAGCCTGAAGCCAGTGCAAGTCTCAAATTCCTGGCTGTGTGAAGATACTGGGGAACGCAGGAAGCCGACGAAACTTGTAGAAAACATAGGCAGTCTCCAGGTTCGGTGGTCAGGGACCGTTCTCAAGCACTCAGTGCCTTGCAAGTCTGCAACATGCTGCTGGCTTCCTCGGCTTTGGGTCCGGCAGGGCATTTCGTTGAGGGGCTAGGAAGAGGAGGGGGGGGCCGTTGGAGCGTGACAGTTTCGGATTTCATTTCGGACTTGGGGCTAGGGTTCAGTAGGCTTCTGACTGTCTGTCGACGGATCCAATCAACTGACGCTTCGCATCAAGCAGTAACGGGGTGTTTCAACATCTTCTTATATAATCGGCCTGGCACACGCAGCCAAGGCAAGTCTGCAAATGCAGCACCACGAAAGTTGCAGCAGGCCCCACCGAGCGAATGTGCTGCATTGGCGTGCCAGCATCGTGTTGTCATTCACATTCTTTGACCAAACATGCATGATTTTGATGATGGCATCCAAATCGTTGAGGTTCAGCTGTGACCGGTGTTTGTGCTCGCTTTCCCTGATGAGTCTGGCAATTGCTTCGTGACCTGCGGGTCAAGGCTGTCCTTCTCCCCCACAGCAGGCTTTTAATGAAACCAGAGCAGAAGGTTACTGTAATGCCTAGAAAAAGGACTTACCCCGTTGATCCAGGGAAAGATCCGCCAGCAGTGCACTACTTGGCCCTTACAAGTGCAGCTCGAGTTCACCTGCTGGCCCTGAATCACCAAGGTGTTGGGCAGCCCCACGAAAGAAACGAAAAAGTTTAATATCCGGCTCATCGGGGTACGAATCTACGGGAGTTCGGCACACTGCAGCTTCGCTGCTGCTCTTGAACCTGAAGCCAAAGATCTTCACTTCTGCCTTTCTCCTGTTCACCACGTTTTTTGGAAGTTGTCCTTTCGGAGAACTGCGGCGTCAGAACCAGCAACTCGGTTGTCTGAGCTGCACTCCCTGAAAGTCACTGTGGCAATGGAAACCCTCTAGCAAAGAGGCACCGGAGCCAGTGCAGTCTCGTGGCCGCAGCAGTCGCAAGCTGCCCGTTTCACAACGTTCGAGCCAGGAAGCTGCACAAAGCCGTCAAGGTTTAGGCAAGACTCGGTCTAGAACAAATAGAACAGTGAGCGTAACACGTCATTCATACATGTGTACTGACCGGTAAAAGTAGCGAACAGCATAGCAGCATAGCCGTAGAACAAGCACGAACACTGCGACAAAGTTAGACGGCGACCTGCAGACTTGACTAGCGGCAACAACAGAACCATTGTCGTCATCATCATGGTCGTGATTGTTGCCTGCAGTAACTCTATACCACAACGCTCTGCGCCACGACGCTCAATAATGCAACTACGACTCATAAGACATGAAACCATTCACTCGTGAATCTCAAACCCTGCACCATTTCCGAAGCCGCAGCCGAGAACTTTGTCAATCCCTATGAACCCGAAAGTCCTAGGCCCCAAGGCAAAAGAAAACAAAACACTAATGCCGAATCCGAAGACCTCGAAGCCTACATCTCAGGAGCCCGACATCCGAAGCACTAATATAGGGGCCATAATTATTAGAATAGGGTTGGGGGGGGTATATTATACTATATAAGGAGCCGAGCCAAACAAAAACCACACCCTACTTAAGTTATTAAGCCCCTTACCCTAAACCCCTAAACCCCCAGACCCTAATCTCTTACATTAAACCCCAAAACCGCGAAACCATCCTTGGCCCCGGCACCTCCTGGTCCTCTCGCGCATTCTGAAGCTGCGTGAGACCTCGCTGGGCCCCCTACAACATCATCGTATTGCCCTTGCTGCCTTTATTGTTAATGTTGCTATGATTAAGTTCTTATGGTTACTATTCTTCTTTATCATGTTTGTTGCTAACTATTGTTATGATTCTTCGCACGGGAATCTGGCACGAACAGGATTTCCGCCCCAAAGCATACCGAAATACACACGGCACTGCGGCTGCAGCGCGATTCACTCCAAAGCTTTGGATTCCACGGCCCCGGAGGGCGGGGCCGAGCAGACTGTGACGACAATCGTGTACTGCAACATGGCGGGAGCTGTGAAGGCTGCCCACTGCGGGCGCTGAGCACCATCACTGACTAATGGCCTTGACCCGAAGCTTGGAAGCATCAAAGCTGTTAGGCTGAGGAAGCGTCCGTCCCGAACCTTCGGGATAACGAGGACGTGCACGGGGGCCTCTGTCGGGCCAAAACTGATGGATGAAAGAGGGAGGGAGGGGTTGAGCAGTTACTAGTAATGGCTCTGACAACACTATGAATAGTACTGTTATACGTATACGCTTGAGGCGAAACCTAAAACTCAAAGCCTTAGGCTCTGCCTGCGGGCTCACGTCCCTGAAGGCCAGAGCGCGGTCATCCTGCCGGAATCGGCTGGAATTGCAGTGATGATGATCACCGCTTTGATACTACTGCTTCTACCTAGTTTTACTTCCACTTCTGCTACTGACCAGCACCACTTCCGTGACTCACCGCTGCTGCTTCTGCTGCTGTTGCTTTGTTGCTAGACAATGACCATCATACTGCTCTTCGCCTTCATCACCTTGATCAGCGATGGGAGTGCAACTGCTGTTGTTGCTTTTGCACCCCCATCGCTGCTACTCAGCCAGTACAGTCTGGGTCGGAGTCATGGCAGAAATGCCGCAAGCACGATACATGTATATAGCACGTACCAGCACTAACACCAATCGAACCGCCACAGCAGTGGCAATAACAGAAAATGCAGATCTAAAACCACAGACGCAGCATAACGAAGCAGCATAACAGCATTACCAAAGAAAACAACAACGACGACAAGCAAAGCAAGCACGACATAAGAGATCTTCTTTGTAGCCATGACTCCAGGATACCAGAGCTCCGAGGCCAAACGTAGGAGCCTGAATCGTTGGACTGGATCTATAATACTATAATATAGTTAGAGTTCTAACTTGGAGCCCTCGGAAATACTGTTGGTAAGTAATCATTCGGTTTCCATACTCTTAAACCTAGAGCTCGACACCCCTCATCGGCAAACGCCCATGTCCTCGAACACGATTTTCGAAGGAATCTCCTCACAGATGATGGTACCCGCAACTAGGGGCTCGCAGACTCCGATGCTTGGAATGGTTTGTCAATCCACAGCCTGAGACGGCTCGCGCTTCAGCAGGCCGAGGCCTTTCGAATGATCTTGTCGAAGATCGTCTCGGGGGCTGTGTCCTTGGTCCTGCGGCACTCGACTGTCCACGTTGTTTACGCTGTCCACCTTGGGTTTTGGGTGTGAGAGAGAGAGAGAGAGAGAGAGAGAGAGAGAGACAGACTAAGTGTCAGCAAGCTCCAAAAGGTGCAAGTGGGTACGTATGTACGTCTTGCCGACATTCATGTGCATGTGGGGCGATTAGTCCTACCATTATTACTGTTATCATGTTCGTTATTAGTAGTATGATTGTTGTTATCATTACCACTATCAGTTCTCAAAAAGAATGCCAGAGCGGGGCGGTCCTCCCCTCTGCAGCCTCCTTGGCGAGCTCCACCTGCTATGGGGCGCAAGCTTGCGGCTAAACACTCGGAGCTTAAATGCAGGGTTCAGGGCCTCGGGTTAAGGAGCTGAAGTTTAAAAAAATCGGGACATATGCGTTGGGGCTAGTTTTGCCTGTAACACGACTCACAGCCTGAACCTCTCACTACCCACGCGAGAACCACAAAGTCAAGACACAACAACCTTTTGGACCTGCCGGAACCCTAAGACCCTATCTGAGCAACGCCGAACTCCAGGCTCCAAAGCTTTGAAGCTAGCATCGGTAGGCAACGACACAGACCAGCCGTGGCAACAACATGTCCCCGACAAGCCGATGCCCACCTGAGCCCTCCGCCCCCACCCCAACGCTCGGAGTCTTCATCTTAATTGCTTTAACCCCTTATGCCTGAACCTACATCCCTTCTCACGGGTCCATAATCCCTGCACCTACATACAAACCTCTGAGCCCCAACACGAGAACCTTAGCATCGCACGAAGGGCATGAAGCCCCGCTCCAGTCCGGGGTCTAGAGGAGGGTGTAGGATTTAGGGTGTTCGGGCTTCGGGTTTAAGTAAAGCCTTCCGCTTTGAGTTTCCAGGAGATTAAGACTCTTTTGTTTTGGGTCTAGGTTTTCGTGGCTAGCGACTACTCACAGTAGTTATAACATCAAGCGTGAGAGGTCTAGAGCCCACGATTTCATTGCATCACATGTAACGCGCTTTGAATCTCTAACGACACAGAACCTCGGAGCCCAAGCGAGGGCATCGCAGCTCGGGCTTTCGACGAACCGACCCAGGTTGCAACAAGCGTAATTACATCAAAACTTTGGCAGTTCTTGGGGTTTCGGTTTTTGGAGTCTCACCAGGATTTGCGGAACAATCCTAACCTCCACTAAAAAGTGCCCTCTCTAGCCTGCGCACGAACCACCGTGACATGCGCACCTCGTCCTTGGCACAGGCGTCCCCACCACCTGGCTCCGGACAAGGACATTGGCCGCTTAGGGGCTTGTAGGGTTTTGCCTGCCTAACTTGGTCTGCGGGGCTCACCCAAGTAAAGAGGACAGGGACGATGGACAAATCATGGACACTTAAACTGAACTTCAGATCTCCCGTAGCTACTTCAACATAGCTATGGGGGTGTTGCTTCGGTCTTGGTGCTTGGGCCTGTATTGAGTTTAAGTTTGGGACTAGCAGAACAACATCCTTATGGCTGGAGCTTGTTCGTAGGATGGTGAAACTACATGAACTTACATCGAGCATGGTCTTCAGCTCATGCATCCCAAGGAAGTTGCTAAATCCCAAACCCTAAACCCTAAACTCTGAAACCCTAAAACCTAAAACCCTGAGCCCTAAACCCTAAAACCCGAAACCCTAAGCTCTAAACCCTAAAACCCGAAACCCTAAGCTCTAAACCGTAAAACCCGAAACCCTAAGCTCTAAGTCTCCGGCTCATTGCACCGAGCCGGGGGAAGTCGCTTCCCAGCTACGCGCTCTGCTCTCGAACCGAAACGTCCGAACCACCGCTACTTGTACTTGGAGGTTCATGGGATCCAGGGTTTAGGGTTTAGGGTTAGTTGGGGATCTATAGGCACAGTAATTATAAATATTAATACAGTAACCATGGGAGGTTCATGGGATTTATTTGGGGATATGTAGGTAATTATAAATATAACCATTACCACCATGGTCCAAAAGGAGGTTCATGGGATTTAATTGGGGATATAGGTAACTGTAAGTATGGTTACCATGGTCCTTTAGGAAAATCTGTACCAAATGCACACATCTTGAATACGTACTCAGTGGCAAGCACAAGTGGGGGAGGTTGAGACGAAGGCATATCGTTCGTAGTCACGGCAAGATGCGCAAGCAGTTCCGAGAAAAGTTTCTATACTTGGCCCCCAGTTCTGGACCAGAACTTCAGCAGCAGCAAGATTGGGAACGAGCATCCATAGCGATGTCAACATGCTCAGCGACACACATAAAGATAGGGCTTGTTGTGGCAATGCCGATGATAGCGGCTCATGGTGCCGTTGGCAGAAGCAGCATTATACGTCGCCATCGTGCTGGTTGCACTGCCGCTGTTGTTGCGGTGGTTTGTTGGATGCGGTCGCCGTCGTGATGCAGGTGGCAAAGGAGCACCAAGGGCAGCAGAGGGACTGGAACGGCTGCATTATGGCTTGCTCTGATGCTAAGCCATGCAAGGCTTACCGGTGCTTAAAGAAGAGTCAGTGAAGGAAGGAATACAAGAACTACTACAAGGGATCATAGGGGTACTACTATGGGGATCCACTCTCCCGCTCTCCCTTCAGCACCAGTAAGAGAAGGAACGCGTCGCACTTTGGAAACTACTTTGGCATGTCTGCAGCCGGCAGCCGGGTGTTCATGCGCAGTTGATAAGAATTAGAATAGCAAATGATCGTAAACAAATAGCCATCGCCATCATCATCATCATCATGATAACAAAATAGTAACAGTAATGCGAAGAAAAGTATGAATATGTTTGGCTCGTCAAACGATCATGTTGTCCGTGGCACTCCCCGGCCCTGGCCTATCTTGCGTTCGTACACCCCTTCACACCCCATGAAACAAACCTTCCACATCATGATGACTATCAATTTCTAGCACTGCTACTATCACTATCACGGTTATCATTACGATTACTGTTAGAAACCACTAAACTATACCTATTACTATTACTATCCATTCTTATTGAAATATCCAGCGGATCTTTCCCGAAACCTGCCAAAGGCCACCTGATGCACACCTGGCCACCGTCATCGAAGCCTGAGGGAAGCATGTCTCCCGGGAAGGGGCACCCGTCTATTGCTCAAAGCAAAAGAAGTGCTACCGTTCCTACCATGATCAGTACCCAAGCAATAGTAAGGATCCTGATTGAAGCACCGGACCTTCGCCGACGTGTCTAGAGACGTGCCGACAAGAATGGGCGCCGATATGACTTGAGAGGGGCGCTCCTGTCTCAAATGAAGCTTTGAGATTTGGGGTTTACGGTGTTTAGCATTACGGCAGACGATTCAGTGTGCACCAACCAAGCTGTATGCCACGATCGAAAAGAAGAGGGGGGACTATCCTGGAATACCCCGGAACACGACGTCGGTGGCGATGAGTTTGCACCGAGTCCCCACAACACGGTGGGGTTCTGCAGTACCCACTATGCCCTTTGCCCATTTCAGGCCAAACCCTGCCCTAAGAGACGATAGCTTGGGCCTCAAAACGCTTCACCCTACATAAGGGTAGTTGAACTCCAAGGCCCATCATAGACTTCTACACCACTGAGTCCCGAAGCCCTTACAAGAACTCGTGAACCCTAAACCCTAAGCCCAGCGGAACCAAGTACGTCAGCAAACATAAAGAAACGTGGCAACGGTATATTCTGCCAAGGTCAACCCTAAATTCCAAAGCACTAGACCCTCAACCTAGTCAACGCCCTGCACCCCAGAAAACCACAACCTCCAAACCCTAAACGTCCAAATAACCCTAGAAGCAGTGGGTACCCAAACCGCTTTGCTAAAGTTTGAATCCGCAACAAGAGCCCTTATGACACCCCTTCATCAAGCACGAGAACCCCTGTAAACCTCTCCCTCAAAGCCACATCTCAAGCCCAGATGCTGCGGAGATGCGCGGCAACAGCGAGGATCCTGTCCACCTGAAAAAGCGGGGTCTAGAGGATTTAGGCTTTTAGGATTCGAGGCTTTAGGGTAGGTCGAAACGAGTTCAGAGAGGTGCCCAGTATTGTGTATAGTCAGCTTTCTTCCAGACCTTTTGACCTTCCCTATGACTTAGCTTGGAAGATTTTTGAACCATGTTTTCCTGGCCTTCTTGTGACACAAGGATCCCAACTACCGCTTGCTTATATTCACAGAAACTTTTCATTCTCGGAAGCTCCAATATGAGAGCTCGCCCGGCTACTATCTCGACTCTATTAGGGAGTATAAGGTCTTCTCCACAAGTCGAGGCTTTTATGGCAGACCCGAAACCCTTCAAAAACCCCAGACTCTGAACCTTGTACTCTAATCCCATAGCTTTTAGGATGTGGGTGCCTTGTGCTGCTGAATGCTTTGAGGGTTCTTTAGGTGCCCACTTCACCGAAAGCGACCGACGGAGGCAGCGATCAGGTGGTGTAGGGTCCTGAATGATTAAAATCTGGCTTGGGGTTCGAAGCCCCAAACCCCTAAAACATAAACCCTAAAGTAAGCCCTTAAAACCCGGGCCGTCTTCTCGCTTGCACCCTAAACCGACAGGCTCTGCTTCTCAGGCGGAGACAAGTAGCCGGCGGTGGTGAAGGGGGCCAGGACCTGGTGGTTTCGTATATTTAGGGTTTAGGGTTCAGGGCTATTTAGGTTATTTAGGGATTAGGGCTTAGGGTTTAGGGCCAGGGTCAAGATCCTGTCCAGCAGCCCTCCTTTCATATGAACCTCAGTACACGGTAAGAGGCCGTTTAAAAAGAAGTTGAATGGAAGACATGGAGGCTCCGAGTTGTGGCTAGATTGCGGCTACAGTTCGTCTTCAAGACCCATGGCTTGCCGACGGTCCCCTCATCTAGATTGCAGTTCAGGGCGAACGTGACATTGAAAGCCATCCCTTGCAATGCTCCCGTAGAACAGGGCGCCCGCCAGTCTTCTCCAACCACCCAGTGCAAGGTTGACACGTGTGCCAAACACGTTCTGGCACCAGTCATCACACCATTGCCACCACAGCTACCAGCAGCTGCCCTCCCCACAGCACTGATCGCAGGAGTAGGAGTAGTGAGTAGTGCGTAGGAGTAGGAGTCGTGCTCTTTGTCGTCGCAGTGGCAGAGATATGGCAGTTGTAGCAAGAAGAAATCACCGTTGTTAAGAAGTAGTACAGATCAGAAAACCAGTGATGATAGAAGTTAAAACAGCGGAGCCAATAAACAACTATCATGCCTTTATCAGGGCGTTGAGCCAGGCGGCCAAGGAAGGCACCACGGCTCGAGCTAGAACCTGGCATTGCCCACAAGATGTTTTCAAGGCAAGCCTGGGTTCCGAACACGCATCCCAGAAGGCTAGGCCTCAACACCACACGGTTACTGCTACTGTTATTGTTTTTTATTACTATTGTTATTACCACTATTATTATTCATATATGGTTATAATGATCACGAATATAGCTTGAAACCCCAACCCGAGACGATGAGCCTCCCGAAGCCTGTACCCTGAGCCTCCTTAGCCTCCGAAATCCCACTTGACAAGCATCTCGCTGTGACTGCTGTGGTCTCTATACCAGCAGTAGCAGCATTTGTCTCTATTAGCAATATGCTGCTTTCATTCCTTCTGACTTCTGCTTTTTCGAGTGGTGGTGGTGTTGGAGGTGCTCGGAGCAACAGCAGCAGCAGTCGTCGTCGTTGCCAGTAGCAGGCGGCGGGAGAGGCGTTGAGGGCGGGATGCAATGGCATGGACGCGAGTGTTGCTCCAGCTAGTGGGACCGGAACCTGGCATCGCTCAGGCCATCAAGTCTGTAAAAGCTGGGATATCGGTCAAGGGTTTAGGGTTTACATATACGGGACTGAAACCTACACCCTGAGCTCCAAATCTCATTGTCCGAGCCAGGACGGGAGTGCCTGAATGCGCCTGGCTGCAAGGCACAATTGAAAAGCAGTGCTTACTACTTGCCACTTCTGAAGGTCTAGTGCAGCAATTTGAACACCTGGCGATCTCTGAATAGTGACGTGTAATTAGATGGACTAAACGGATGCACTTACCACGCATGTGGCTACACCGGAAGAGGAAGGTTTGCAGCCTGTTGTCTCATTGCTGGGACACCGCACCAATGCCCATGGCCGGTCATGATTTTCCGCATCATCCAAGTCGGTCCGACCGCGAAACTCCGACATCTTGGAGGCACTCAGTGCTAAGACACGTGGGTGCGTCGCAAATCACTGCGCAAAACATGGTACACATTCCCCTGAATTCTTCGTCCACAAGCTTCAGACCCCGGAATTGAAACGCCCCCTTGCCAAAGGCTCCTTCGAGCCCAGTTTTTAAATCACTGCAGAGAGTGCTCTATCTCAGCTTACCACGAACGTCACCGAGGAACTCTGCCCTGGGCGACATAAAGCTTCTAAATTTATAGGGGCCTTAATACTTAGGAATATAGGGTTTTGGGGCCCATTATACTATGGCTCTTGTACGAAACCACCAGAATTTAATAGGTAATTGAGGCCCCTATATTGGTGTGTGACTCGACAATGATCTCGCAGAGGGGCGTGAACCATGGCCTCTGCTCACCCAGCCACATAGTAGGAGTAGTCATGAATACTAATCAGCTCCGGCGTCACGTGGATTCGAGCTTTGGCAGACGCCACAGAGGAGATATCTTTCCAGTCCTCACAGGCTCACAGCTCTTGAAGACTTAGGGTCAAACAAGGCCAGGTTTCAAAAGCAATCTACTTTAGGGGCCTTAATAATGAATTACCTACATTACCGGGGGCTCTTTATTCTTATTGAACTACAGCTTACACCAAAAGCCTATTCTACTACTATTTAGGCCTCTACATCTGCATCCTCAACCCAGCAATAAAGCAAGAAGCCCCCGAAGATCCAAGAGTCATACTCGGCGCTCTTTTCACAGACGAAGGTGTCGGCGCCGTCCGCAGGTTCCGCGGTGGCCCCGTTAACATCCCAGCGCTTGCCTCCATTGAACTCACTATCGAAGAGAGCCCCAATGATGAAGCGAGCCAAGTTGGCCGTTTCCAACTTACCGTCAGCATACTCAACCAGGGCTCGGTGCATTCCCTTGAGCTGCAAGAGGTTAAAAGCCTCCAGCTTCCTTTTGTCGTCGTACCTGGAGCTCCGCACCGCTCTTGGCAACACCCTGCTGCCTTCCAATTGGCGGGCAGGAGCACCTCGTGCAGGACTTGGGCCACTGCCGGGCTTGGTTGAGCTCATGCTCGTTCTGCCAGAGGGTGCCGCTGCGCAGATTGGTTTAGGTGCCTTGTCGGCGGTTCTGATTCCCGCTTGCAAATGGCGCGAGCCGCTGGTGGGCCTGGTTGAGCTCGGGCTCGTCTTGCCAGTGGGCGGTGGCGCGCCGAGAAGCCTATTGGATGCCTTCCCAGCTCCAGTCGCCACTTGTGAACGACTTGGACCACTGGCCCTGAGCATGGCTGAGCTCTGCTTTGCACCGGCCTCGCTGGCCGGCACCGGGCTGGCGGCTTCGTTTGCTGGTGTCTCCATCAGGAAACTGGCTTGAGCCAAACTCTGGCCTCCGAAAACCGAGCTTCACCGTCCTTGATCATAGGAACCATGCTTGAGCTGCTCAGGTTGATCGTGGTTTCCTGGTCTCTTCTACTACCTCCTATGGTCCAACTGCGCACACTGCTCATGCTCGAGCCACTGCTCTTGACCTGGCTCGTCGCGTGGAAAAAGAGCCCGGGCCTGCAAAAAAGGTTAGAATAAGTCTTTGGGGATCCACTGTAGCGTAATTGTAGAGGGTTTTGGTGTACATGATGGTACAACCGTGCAAAATTTGGTAGTGTCTACAAGGGGATGCTATGCTATTGCTAAACCTGTCCGGAACCGGCCTCATCTCCGCGCCCGTCCTGCCCGAGGTCTTGCTACTGATGCAGGGACCTACTCGGGCTGTTCTTCCATGCTTTCGAGCTTGAGCCAGTCTTGAAGGGCATTCTTGATAGATGTGCGAATCAAAGACTCCGAAGATCTACAACCTGAATCCTTCAATCCATAGAGCCACAAACGAACGGACAATTTATACATCAGGTCTCCATTGAGCTTGCCTGCCAGATAAACTTAAGTACTCATCTATGATACTACCACTAGAACATAAACTAAGCACATGGGGGCCTGCACACTCCGAACTCCTGCATTTGCAACGAAGCGCTGAGCTTGGGTGCGCGGCCTACCTCTATAATCGATTGCCACACAGACACAGATCTATACATCTCATCTATATGTGTGTATATGTATACATTTACAGATAACAATACTACTTGCTAATAAACAATAATAGTAGCAAGAATAATGATAAAACGCCTAACCGGAGCTCTTCCCTGGTACAAACCCTGATCGGGAGAAAGATACAGAGACAAAGACCGAGAGGGAGAGGGAGAGAGAAATAGCGGGAGAGAGAGAGAGAGAGAGCGCGACAGGGAGAGGGAGGCAAATGGAGACACATACAAACAGAGACCGACCGACCAGCCAACCAACATACATACAATCAAGCAGACCAGAGGAGAGCGGGAGAGAGAGGGAGGGACAGAAGGAAAAGCGCAGCGTGGCAAGAACAGTATGCTGAAGTTACAGGTACAGCCCAACATAGCATAGCGGGCGTAGTGCGAACACATCGACAGCAATGCCGCGCCTCCTGCTGGGCATGGAGCACCGGGAGGGACAGCACTTCCGGACTTGAACCCCGATCTCAGCTCTGAAGGCCCTCTACGTCTCGAAGTGACCATGGAAGATACCGTCTCTATGTGATCCGCATCCCGCGTCTAAGTTGTACCGAAAGATCTGCGTATGTTGAGCCAGCTCCGAGCCAATGTAGGAGAATCGAATGCTCCAGCTGTGAACGGTTTGCAGTGTAGGATACCTACATATCCGGAATCAGGGCGCTGAAGAACAAGGATCTCCCTCCACAGGCTGATGCTGCATAGCAAAATCCTCTCTGCTTGCACCGTGGAGTACCATAGAGGCCAAAGCAGATGATCCCCCGACGATGGCATTGTTATGCCGACAGTTGATCCTCTGGGAGTGAAATGCCTGATAAATAAAATTTCCGGCAGACTGAATCCAAAACTGGCTGAAGAAGGCCTTCCGAAACAGTGCCTCAACAATTTCATGGGAAGCCTAAGGAATAGTACTGATGGCTTCCATATTACTTCCTTCTACAAATCCCCTGTACCATTCAAGTTCCCGTCTTTGTCTTTGCAACTTGCATTCAACAAGTTCTTTGATCCGTGACTTCTGAAGCACTTGCTGCCGAAACTGTACTGCCTTATATACAATCGTCAGAAGGATGCCTGTAAATAAACCTGCAACTTGCCCTGGGTCCACAAGCAAGGTCTACCACATCCGTCTGGCCTGAACTTTGGGCCTAACTATCTTTCTGTCTCTCGCCTTGCCTTCGGCCGTCAATCCATCTGCCTCCCTTTCTCTGTCATGTAACATGTACAACACACATACTCGAAGAAGCATTGAACATAGACCATTCAAGGTATACCGACACACGGCCTCCAGCCACAATAGCCGAAGCCTTGTACAGCTGATAGCCCTGCACTACAAGTAGTAGAAGACAATTGTTCACTGGATGGCTCTAGTGGCACTGTTACACATCAGAACCGTGCCTTCTACGTTGACCGCCTCGTTCAGCCCAAAACGGAACTACTATGTCTAAACTCCTGACCCATCCGAAAACCCTGGGTGCGAAGGCGTTTTGGCGCCAACTTGCCGAGTGCATGTCATTGCGAGCCGCTCACCCCTGGTCTCTGTGGAGCCGTGGTAATGCCATACTTGCAGTCGTGCAGCACATAGTGTTTGAATGCTTGGGGTTGGGGCTTCTAAAGTTTGATGGGCTTTAATCACCAGCAGCTGTACTTGCAGCCGTAGAGAAGTTAACGGCTTTAACAATACGGTTGACGGTTTAGACGTATAGCCCGAAACCACACTTGCAGTAAAAGGGTTTAGCGCTTAGACGTTGGAGGTTGGGGGTTCCGATAGCCTTGTAGCAGGTCAGGAACATAACAAACCTTCGCCGCAAAATGCTGGTAGGCAAAAGACGAAGAAGCCACTCGTGACGTGACCAAAAGTATGGTTTCCGAGATCCCCACCTGAATTGATAAACCTCGCGCCTACAGACAAACCTACACCGTAGATGCAAAAGAAATCTCGCCGAAGTGATGGCCCAGCCATCCGTTCAGCCAACATGCCAACTTAGTTCATCTCGGGCTATCGTGGACCCATGTGTGGCTGTACGCGTAAGGTACCCTTCAAAGGCCTGTCAGTGAGCCCCTCACCCATAACATATCGAGATCTCTCTCATGTCCCAGATTTCTCGTCTATCCAAAACCGCAAAAAAACACTAGAAAATCACAGAAGGCCACACAGAGCTCAGGAAGTGTCAAGACCAAACTGTGGTTCCCGAGTGCACGGTCATTGCGTGCGCCTTTTGCGCTCCTCGTCATAAGCCATTCACCGGACCAGCTTCCGCGGCTCAGTCGGCGGCCTAAGGCCCTTCAGAACATCCGATGACCTCTTAGTACAGAACCTGACTAGCAGGGCCCTTCTTCGCAAGACCTCTAAGCAAAGAACCCTTAGTATTGAAAACCCTCAAGCAGGAAGGCCCGGAAACTGGACGCGACTTTCGACCTTCTCTTGGCCGTTGGCGAGAGGATTCCTTTGGCTTCGGCTGCCCTCGGCCCTCAATGTAGCCTTTCTTTTTCCGTTTTGTGGTACATAGGTACAGATGAGAGCTTCTCGAGCTTCAAGGGGTCTAAGGGGTCAGGGGTTTCGGATTTGGGGATGAAAGACCTACGGCTTGGGGATTGGTGGGGTTTCGGAGTTCAATGTCCATTGGGTCTTAGGGGTTTGGGCCTTGGGCGTTACCGCTTCGCAGTGCCTGGGAGTTTCAGTGTTGTGGGTGATCCAGTCTGGCATGGTGACACAGGGCAGCCAAATCAAAGGTATCCTCCCTTATCGTGCGGACCTCCTAGAACCTGAATTGTGTGGCAGGATCTCCACACGGCGGAACCGGGAGAGAAATGGCTCTATGCTACCCTCACATGCTCAGTATGGCCCATGTCTGGCAGGAGGCGCAGGAGGCCACTTCGCATAGCCCGGCTGTCCCGGTGCTGGCGGCGGGGCTGGAGGGTGCGGAGGTGCACAAGCGCCTGGAGGGCCATAGTGCCCTGTGTGCATCGGTGGGGGCGGTGGCTGCAGAGGAGGCGGGGGTGTGGGAGGCGGTAGGGCCGTAAAGGGAGGAGTCGCTGGCGGAGGACCCGACATCTTGGAGACAACTCCTGGCTGCGCAGACTCCAGTGGTCGTGGAGGAGCTGCCTTCATGGATCCACCTTGAACCTCAGACACCCCATTCGGGTACGTACCCTGCAGCGGCTGGCTTGGCACGGACTGGCCGACACCCAACAGGGGGTCGGGAGACCCCAGCGCTGGTGCCGGCGCTGTGGGAGCCGGAGCTGGCGCGCCATTGACACCTGCAGTCAGAGAGATTGCGACTGACTCTCTCTGCCTCTTACTTCCGTGCGTGGGGTGAGCCCAGTCCTCTCCGTCTTTCTCTCCGATACATGGTCAGAGAGAGCGAGAGAGAGAGAGCGAGAGCGAGAGCGAGAGCGAGAGATAGATAAACCCTAAACTCTAAACCCTATACATACAACATGCTGCTCCACATGCAGGGACATACAGAAATGCGCTCATCCTTGCATGTATGATTGCACATCTCATTCTTCGACCTCCTGCCCTGCACCTACGCCCCATGCCTGCCAAACAGTCACTGGGCCGACCTACAGCCGATGGCTTGGGATGTGAGACTACTGAGACCCTCAACTCGGGTTCAACAGGGCTGCAAAAGGCCTGCGGCTGTCAGCGCAGCTGCCAGGCTGGGATCCGCTGCCGCAGCTGCGGCAAGTGCGTCCTATGAGCAGCACACATGCGACCCATGGCTGAGGGACGGGTAGCCCCTCCATCTCATCTTTATCTTCATGACTTGGGTATCAATCTTTGCTGTATGCAGTGTTGATCAGCTTCAGCATTGTCGTCATCTTCACCACAGAGTCTACCACCAGCACCACGAAAATGTCTGACCCCATCATGCTCGCATCGTCAAAGGCCCCCGGGACAACAAAAAGGAGGATTCACCACAATACCGTTCGCTTGTTTACGGGATCTCCGTCTGGAGGTTCAAGGTGGCCGGGGCCCAAATTCGGAAGATGCAAACCCATTCAGCCTCAAGTCTGCATGTCGCAGGCGCTATGTCGCAGTCGTTCCAGCATCGGTGGAAATAACCATAGTGGTAATATGGGGTGCTTTCGGAACATAAGGGGTCCTCATGTTAAGATCGAGCCTAAGAAAAGGGATCCTTAAAGTAAGACGCGACCCTGGACCCCGGGTTCAGGCATTAGGGGCTTTAGGGTATAAGCTGAAGGCTTTTGCAGGTGGCTGAGGGTTTAGATTTCTTCGGTTTGGCTTTTCGGTCTTAGGGTAGGTCTCAATTACAGTCCGGGGTCGCTCGTACAGGAGTGACCCTTCCCCAGCTTGAGAATACACCCAGCATGCGGCAGATATGCCAAAAAAGGACACAGTGACTCAATCGACCTTCAACATAGGCTGTACAGTAGAGCCTGTGTCCCTCGGAAGGAAAGAACATCCGAAGATCAACGCCCAAATATTGCGAACGAACATCATCGTTGAAAGCCCGCAACTCCCAAACAGATCCTAACACGAGGAAGGATGCCGAGGTGCCGCTGTCTGACCTGCCGCCGGATCTGCCTTAAACCAGAAAGTGTCACAGAAACAGGGGGCAGCAGTAGAAGTGGTACAGAGTGACTAACTCATCAGACCGCCCCCTCTCAACCCACCACAGGCCCGGCAGGGTACGACAGGGTCCCAAACAGACAGTTGGCAGGTGTGTATCAGGGCAGTTCTTGCTTGCATTGCATATTGGGGTACACCACATCATTTTAAAGCCATTATTGTAATACGGCAGGAATACTGTAATGTTGGCTTCTACACTTGCGGGCTCGGGTGCTGGAAGTCCGGCTGCTGCCAGCTGTGCTGCAGCAAGCTGCTGTGCAGCGACCTGACCCGAGCGTTTCTCGGAGTTCAGGGAAAGGGGTTTAGGGGTTTGAGTAGGGGTTTAGGGGTTTCCTTAACCCTGAATAACCTAACTTTTTAGGGCTCCTTATTATGATTTCCTTATATAAGTCCTTAGAAAGGTAGGTTTTTCAGGGTTAAGGTTAGGTTTATTTAGGGGTTTAAGGGGCTTTGGTTCCGATTCAGGGCGCTGCGCTTCACTTGGGAGCTTTAGGAGTTCAGGGCTTAGTGGGCTTTGGGCGTTGCAGCTCCCTGAAGCAACGAGTGTGCTGAGCATAGTCCCAAAGACAAAGAGACGGCGCAAGTCTGCATCTCGACAGGCTCATGTATACTTAGAGACAGAGGCAGAGAGACAGAGAGAGAGAGACCCGTCAGCGGCAGTGAGATGCTTGCAGTCTAAACCCTGCTTCTAGATCCAAGGCCACAGGTTCTATCCACTTGTCAAGTTGTAGCTATATACTGACTGCACAGATCCTCAAGAATAGAATACGCGGTCAGTGTAGGTTGCAGAGATGCCAGGGGATCCCAAAGAGAAGAACTGTATCCTTCTTGCAAGACTCCTGGCCCGCTGCAACCCCTTGAAAACGATCGAACAACCGTACTACTTGGAGGATCAAGCGACTCAGTAACTCGGGTTAGAACAGAGCACCTATATGTAGAATCCTTTTCTTTACTGACTAAGTCCCACGACCATTCAAGCAGTACCAGCTTCAGAGAAGGCAAGCCACCTGCTGTGCTGCCAGCCTGGGTGGCATGTGCGGTAATAAATAGTTAGATTCCTTTAAACGGCTCTATATAAGGGCGACTATAAGGGATCTATAAGGGTATAGTATAATATAGGGGCCTTAATAATTAGAAAAGGGTTCGGGGGCATATTATACTATAATGGTAATAAGGAGCCCCAAAACCCTATTCTAATTATTACGGCCCCTGCATTAAAGTCGCTGCGAGTGCTTTGCTGTTTCATGCTGCTGGGTTGTGAAATCGAGCGGAACCTAATATAGGGGCCTGAATGATTTGAATAGGGTTCAGGGGCCCGTTATACTATAATTTCAAAAATCATTTGGGCCCCTATAGTAGGCCCTATAGTAAAAGAGCAGGCATGAGATTCGCAATGCAGAAGATCCTTGCTTACCAATCACAAGGATATGCATGATTGTCAGTCACTGCCGACTGCCGTCCTCACCGGCATCATGCCCTTCACCATCACCATCACCATCAGGAATCATCATCGTCTTCTTCATCATAATCATCACCATCATCATCACCACAGCCACCGCCACCACTGCCACCCGTCATCACCATCCTTGTCATCATCACAGCTACGTTACAACAGTGAATGGAAGCAGAGCCTCCCGGAAATCAAAAGAGGTGTTGGTCCGGTGCTGGTGAGTTGGGCCAAAAACTTTGTCACCCTCCATGCCTTCAATTCGAGCAGCAATTTAACCGTATCCGGAGCCAACATCAACTCTTCTATGTTATGCACCTCACGACAACAACCAAGTCCGCTTCTGCAGTTCTCCGTTCTAAGATGCTGGCGAGTCGCCCCTAAACCCTAAACCTTCTGATCCCGATGAACCACCTGAATAATAGAGGGGCTTAACATAATTACCTGTACTATTTTGGGGGATGCCTTATTGTAAATATATTGTAGTGGGCCCCAAAACCCTATTCTCATTATTAAGGCAATCAAGGCCCATCTAAACCCTAACCCACACTTTAAAGCTTCACTTCCGGAGGCAAAGCTTGTTACACTCACTCTTCAAAAATGTAGGCGTGCCGTATTTAGGAGTCCTTAGACGCAGGTTTTTCTACTTGGGGCAACCCTAAACAGGAAACCCTAAACCCTAACACCCTAAACCCTAATCCCTAAAACCCTAAAATCCTGAAACTCTAAAACCCTAAAACCCTAAACCCCCTAAACCATCCCGACCGCCAAGGCGCTGCTGGTAGTACAGCTGGACAGCCAGCTGCTGTTGTTGCTGTGCTGCCGCCAGCCTCGCTGGAATCGAACCCCAGGCTGAACCCTGAAACAACGGGACCGAAGCATTCTTAGGGTTCCTTTAAAAGGGTTCCTATAAGGGGTCTATAAGGGTACTATAGTAATATTGCCCTCGCCGAGAAGTACGACAAACTGGCGCAGATCAAGGGACACTTGGAAACAGGCTCGGTGGTGAGTAAACGTGCATCTGCTTTCCCAGCCACTGTGCAGCTGCGGCTATCTGTGATGTAGGGTCGGCGGGCGCCACGCCATAGCCTCCGTAGCCACCTCGCCACAGCTGGGTTTACGCTTCGAGGAGCTGGGGTCCCCTAAGAAACTACTACTGCCCTGGCCTTAAACCCTAAGCCCTGAACCCTGTCACAACGAAAGCCCTACTGCAATCGAAGCCCCAAGCCTAAACCGCAGAAGCTGTTGCTTTCTGGACCGTGACGATGCGTCAGGTTTTAGGGTTTTGGGGCGCAGTATACTATAAGTACCAAAAAGAACCCCCAAAACACTGTGGGTAATTATTCAGGCCCCGAAAGTACCCGGCTCTTCCAAAGAACCTTCAAGCATCCCTCAGCCAAGTCTTTCAGATTCCCATTTCGGCACTCTGCCCGCATACTTCATCGCAGAGCCGCTTCCTTTGCTCTGATTCTTGGCCATGATCTTTGCCTGACCGCACAGCAGTGGGAGGAAATAATGAGTCGGAGGAGCTCGAGGGCTTGGACTTCCAGCCTGATCCATTATTTTAAAAAGGGCCCCAAAAAAGCGCAAAAGCAAAAAGAAGCATAGGGAAATCCCATATAAACCCCTTTAAAAGGAAGGCCAATATTGAAAACCTGGTCGATTCAGGCCGAAAGCTTGCGACAGCCTGGCCATGCCTCCCCAAACCGCCTAGCCCGATTGAAGCGCAGCGTGCTTGTGCAAGATGAACATACAGAGGCCTTAACAACTAGAACAGGGTTTCGAGGCATATTACACTAGCAGTACATTAAGCAACCCGAAGGAATAAAATCAGGACCGACTTGTCCAGAACGTGGAACATGGCAGTTTGGGAACGGAGCCTTAGGCAATTGGACAGGGGCCCTAATAATTGGATTTTGCTGTTTTTTGGAAGGGGCTGGGGGGGGGTTCTTATGCTAGAGGGGCTACCGGGGGACATTAGGACAACGTCCTCCGGCTGCTATGGTAGCAATCTCCTCGGTGGCACTTTGAGGACCCGACCCAGATCTCCTCGGGCGTCCCCTGCATATCCTTCGTGGAGAGGCCCGCGGTGTTGGCGACATCTGGGCGCTTCGCGTGCTTTGAGGGTTTGGGCGGGGGGTGAAGACCTTAGTTGATTAGGGCTGAGGGAAGGAAAGACGTCTAGCACCGCGCGAACTTAAGAAGAGAAGAGGACTCACAATGCTTTGTCGAGTCGAAACAACTGATGTCTGATGAACCGATCATTATCGATTGGAGCGAGGTGTTGAAGCACGGGACATCTTAGGCGTGACTCTTCGGCGTGACTACGTTCTGCGGTTCCGCAAGTGAGACGAATAACTAGGTGATGACCACGGTGGTTGCGATGGGGGCCGGCCATGAAGATCAAGAAGAACACGGCTGCAGCGGTGAATGATGGTGGAGATGACAACGATAATGCTGCGTGTGACGAAATCGATATCACCCGCAGCAGCTCCGCCACCACCATCAGTGCCATCAATATCAGCATCATGACTCGGTAGGTCTGACACCTCAGCATGGTCCTGGCCTTCGCGTGCTTTTTTATAATATCTGTATATATATATATATATATATAGATATAGATATAGACATAGATAAAGATATAGATGTAGATATAGATATAGATGTAGATGTAGATGTAGATGTATATGTACATGTACATGTACATGTATATGTATATGTATATGTATATGTATATGTATATGTATGTACATACATACATACATACATATACATATATATATATATATATATACACATATGTATATATGTATGTATACGTATATGTACATGTATGTGTATATATGTATATGTCTATGTCTATGTCTATGTCTATGTATATGTATATGTATATGTATATGTATATGTTTATGTATGTGTACATGGATATGTGTATATGTATACATATATGTATCATGTATCTGTATGTGTGTATGTGTATGTATGTGTGTACGTATAAGTGTATGTATATTCATGTGTATGTACGTGTGTATGTACATATGCATATATGTGCAAATAGATCGGTTGATACATAGAGAGATAGATACGTAGGTAGGTATATAGGTAGAGAGGTAGACAGGTAGATAGATAGATTATTATCTATTTGTTGATTTATTTCTTCAAATGTTGATGCTCATGTTTATACCTATGTCTATGTTTATATTTAGTTTCATACCTATACTTCGAATTATATCTATGTTTCTGTGTTAACAACTTAAAGTCTTAACATGAAATGCTCCCCAATAGCCTTCAATGTCTTGGGGCTCTCAGCACCCTTAACTCTAGTCAGGACCCTCATCTCGCAAGCCTTGGGCCTGATATAGGGGCCTCAATAATTGGAGTGGGGTTTGGGGGCCCAAACTATTATAATTATAATAAGGAACCCCAGAAATAGTATTGGTAATTATTGCAAGGCCCCTATAGTAAATCACCTCCGATAAGTCTTTCCAAGCAACTCCCGGCAGAGCCGTTTATACGCACCATCAGGGCGGCAGATGGGTTCCTCATGGGCTCGGGATTGAAGGTTTAGGGTTTAGGGGATTGGGTTTTTGGGGATTGTGGTTTAGGGTTTAGGGGATTGGATGTGAAGCGTCTCTATGAAGACCCCAGGTCTCCTCGCATTCCGCTGAGGTTCTGTGTGTACGTTTAATGTATGGGCCTGAATAATTAGAATAGGGTTTTGGGGCCCACTATACTATAATCATAATAAGGAGCCCCCAAAATAATATTCTGGTAATTCTTTAGGCCCCTATAGTACGTTTACGGACATTCGCAGGATGGAGCCTCTGGGCGGTTACCAGTCCCAGGACTAGCGCAGCCCTTCTGCTGCAAATCTCGCTGCCGTTGCCATTTCTGCTATGGCTGCTTGAACAGGGCAGGTCACTCTGCCCAACATGCATCAAACATAATCATAAGCCTCGAACCCTACATAACCCTAAAGCCGTAAGCCGTACAACCTTATAACCCTAAACCCTAAAATCCTAAAGCTTACGACGTAAACCCTAAACCCTGTACTTCCTGGGCGTCGGGTGTGGGCCTTTCGAGGAGGCTGGGACATAACTTAAAGAGCCCAGGCCCGGAGAGCAATCGTTTTTAGGATTCAGGAGCCTTGTATTACAACATGGAACCCTGGGGAATCGCAGTGGTACTAGCTATATTATTTCAAGCTCCTATAGACCTCCACTTCTAGTCTCCAGAATAGGCATGTCGCGTAATAGGAAACGATTTTGAGTTTAGGGCCCAGGTCCCTGAGACTAGGGGTTTAGGGGGTTGGGGGTTTAGGGTTTAAGGGTACAGTAAAGTTAGGCCAAGTTTCTTGTACCCTAGCGCGAAGAACGACAAACATTCGGGTCAGGGCATCTCCAGGTCAGGCCAAGTCACTTGCAGTCGGCCAGGCTTCCACGCTCCATGGCCTGGTTTTAGCTTTGGGGCGGGCGACTGAACGACACTGCCGCAAAATGCAAAGGTCTGAGAAGAAGCACCGTGCGTCGTCGGAGGGGTCACACTTATCTGGACCTTATCTGGACACCTCCTACTTGACCATGTCAAGGTGGACCATTGCCCGTACCCACTACACACTCCTGTGCAGCAGGATATCAGCTAGCCCAATCCAAAAGTTATTGATCAGGCTAGAACTCTGCGAAAGGCTTCGACGAGTAGAAAGTCTGGAATCCTACAGTTCAAGCCACTCTAAAATGGTGACGGATGTGGTGGTGATGCTGTCAATGACGCCGGTGGCTCTGTGATAGTCGAGGTGACGGCTGTGACCAAAAGCTTGATGAAGAAAACGAGGACGACACTGATTTGAGCATTGAAGATGCAGAAAAGCAAACATAGAATACCAAGAAGACATGTGCATGATAAGTATGACGATGATGATGGTGAATATGGTGATGGTGATGGCGGTGATGGTGGCGATGATGGCGATGGTGATGACGAGGAGGATGACGATGATGAATATAATAATGGTGAAAATTGTGTTGACGATGATGATGGTCGTGATGATGATGATGATGATGATGATGATGATGACGGTGACGGTGACGGATGGTGGCCATAATGGTGATGATGATGATGCTGCTACATGGTGATGACGATGATGATGGTGGTGGTGGTGGCTGATGGTGATGATGGTGATGTTGATGATGCCGACGGTGATGATGGTGCACACGATGACGGTAATGTTGAGGATGGGGTTGCTGCCGATGCTGACGCTGATGATGGTGCACACGATGATGATAATGCTGAGGATGACCCCGCTGAACTTGCCGATGTGGATCTGTGGATGGTGATGATGATAACGATGATGATGGCGATGATAATGATGATGATGATCATGATGATGATGATGGCGATGACGATGACGGTCCGCCTGCGAAATCGCTAGAGCAACACACAACCCGAACTTCCCCAACCCCTCTTGAAAGCAGGTTCTGCGGTGGAAGTGCCTGGAGTTGGACGTCTGGGGCTGCATTGCGCAGGGCGGCAGCGGCCCTTTCCTGATGTGTGGCTCAAGAGCGAAGAGTTGAAGAGGACTACTCCAGGACGCGATGACCTGCGGGCGACTGTAAAAGATCCGAACACTCCGCGAGCTTCAGGCAAGCACTGGTAGGTGCTGCCATAGGTGCTAGCACAGCTTGATCTGGCCTGATACTCAGTCTCTTAGCATTGGTCTCCAGTAGGTTGGCTTTAGGATCGCCGTGAAGGTTTGGGGTAGTTGGCCCCGTTGTGCGAGCCGAGGCACATCAACCGGATTCTCAGCCAGAAACCTCAGCAAAACCAGAGGTTTGTCAATCCAACCGGTCCAACACGTCATGCCTTGACTGCAAAAGTTCTCGGCCCCCGAAGCCCAGAAGTCGTCCAATCCGACTTGATTACATGGGATTTCGGTGGCTCAGACTCAGCAAAAGGACGCGCATGTATGTATGTATGCAACCATGCATGTATTCATGCATGAATATGTGCGTTGGATGTGTGGATGTACGCAGAGAAGTGTGTGTGTGTGTGTGTGTATGTGTATGTGTATGTGTATGTGTATGTGTATGTGTATGTGTATGTGTATGTGTATGTATGTATGTATGTATGTATACGCGGATATGTATATGTACGAATGAATGAACACATGAAAGAATGGACGAAGGAACCAAGGAATGAAGAAATGAAGCAGTCACGGAATCCAGGAATGAATGAATGAATGAATGAATGAATGGATGACTCAATGTGTATGTGTATATGTGTACACATGCGTATATATGTGTAAATCGTTATATACATATACATATATATATATGTGTGTATACTTGTCTCGAACCACCAAGAGCGTCTGGAGAGGCATGAGCACATTAGCTGATCCCGTGCACTGCAGCATGACCACAAGGGCTGACAAGGGCCGAAGCAAGCATATGTGCATCTTAATCTGCCCGAGCGAAGGCCTCGATAATCTGGAAATACGGAAACGGCCAACAGCTCAATCGTACAGTGGTGCAAAACTGGAATCGGAGCTACGCAAAAAATCAGCGTTACGCGTGACAGCTTCACCACCCCCTGACATGGGGGTCATGAGCCCGAAGGCAGACGACCTGTTAATGTCTTCGCCTCTGTGCAGTGGAGACCTCGGCAGAAACCTGTAGCATCCTCGGCAATGAACCGCCTCTCTTGCCCTGACGAGGGGCTTCTCCACCGCCGCTGCGGCTGGCGACCCCATCGCCATCGGTGCGGTTTTGTTGTGGGACGGAGAGGGGTACGCCCCGATGCTCTGACACCTTTACAATTCTCAACGGACAGTGTGTGGCTGGAGGGATTTTTGCCGAGGCCTGGCAGCTTGACGTGTAGGGTGAGTTTGGTGTAGCACGGTTTCAGTTCAGGGGTTTCGCTGAGATCGCCATGAAGAGCGAAGACTGGTCTGAGGTGCCATGTCGGTACGAGGTGCAATGTCGGTACTGCCTGGAAAACCATATGAATGTACAGCTGCTAACTGTGGGATCGAGTTGTCAAGTCATGTCCTGAGTAAGATCATCGCTGCATATCGGCTAGTGGATGTGCATCGGTAGAAAACCGTGCCCCGGTGGTTTTCTGCGCCTCGTCTTTCGGATGACCAGTTCGAGCGGAACACAGCAGAGGAAAATGAGTCATGACTCGAAACCGAACTGAGCGCCGGGCTACAAAGCAGCCTCGCACCTCCGACTTTCCACAGCCAGTCGGCTTGTATGAGTGACAAGCGCCCCGCTACCAGACAAATACGCGCTGGCAACATACACTACAAACCCGAGGTCGTCCCTACGACTCTCACTTTCGACTCGCAGCTGACGTTGTCAAAGCTAATGTGTATGTGCACAAGCAGGCTGCCAGGGAATCCCGTCTCCTCTCTGATGCATTCTGCACTGCTCCAGAAAGCTGGTCTTTAACGGCGCCTTGCATCTTTCAGGTTTTGCAAGTCATCTGCAGCTGCGGGATTCCTGTAGATGCAGCCTGCTATAGCATCCACAAAGCCTCACTTCTTGCTTGTCTTCGCGATAGTCTTCCTGACGCCGGTTGAGGAGACTTTCGTCGCCGGCACCTTCATGACCTGACTTGAAAGCCCTTCAAACCTGCACCCTAAACCCTAGCGTTAATATGTAAACTCGGAGCCAACAAGGATCGAGGATGTCACTCCAAAGGCTTCCACAGAAACAAGAACTCAACTACGTACTTAGGCTGCTGAGGAACCTTCGGCTGGGATCCCAACACCCTGCGGCGCCACAAAGCTTTCTGTTAAACAAAGCTATGAAAACCCCAGAGGCAAAAGAAAAGCAGATACCTGCCTGCCACACAAGTTTAGCACGACAGGAAACTATGTAGGCTCGCCGAAGAGTCTTGACACATTGACGTGAATGTACTGCAAAACGCGAACCCCTAAGCACTAAAACCTGAGGCTCCTCTAACGACGAAAAAGCCAGAACACAAAAAACCCTAAATGTAATATTGATAGTTATTCGTTACTCAGAACAATAAGAAGAAGCCCTACAGCCCTCTTCGCTGCGCCGGGGAGCCGCTGGCTTCGGCGCAGCTGCATCCCTCTGCAAGGTGCGGGTCGCCCATAGTGCCTTCCTGTGTGCAATTACGAGTGCCAAGCAATCAGCGGCCTTGTGTCAAAAATGGACGGGGGTAGACGGTGGGAGAGAGAGAGAGAGAGAGACAGACCTCTGTCTATCTATCCATCTGTCTTCCGCCATCACCCACCTATGTACCTCTCCATCTATCTACCTATCTATCGACTTGACCCATGATAGGCAATCTTTTTGACATGTGAAGGGCTTACACAAGTGCTGCTGTCTCCATAGTGACCAGCGTCTTTGCATTTTCTGTTTAGAGCTAGGTTCTTAGGGTTTAGGGTTAGTTAGGGTTTAGGGTTTAGGTCTAGAGCTCCGGGCACACAGGGTGCCATCGAAGCCCTCGGTCTCGGACCTAAGAAAGCAAGGTCCTTGCAGTCGGGCATGATCTACCCCTTGACTCCAGAGTTTCGAACCCGCATAGGTTGAGAGCACAACTCTATAAGAAGCCTAAACGCTAAACCCCTAAAGGATTCCTAAACCCTGAACCCTTAAAGGATTCCTAAACCCCAAACCCTCACAAAGGATTCATTCCTAAACCCTAAACCCTTAAAAGATTCCTAAACCCCAAACCCTTAAAGGCTTCCTAAACCCTAAACCCTAAAAGCAAGCTTCCTAAACCCCAAACCCGTAAAGGCTTCCTAAACCCCAAACCCCTAAAGGCTTCCTACACCCTAAACCCTTCAAGGTTTCTTAAACCATACTGTAAACCCTTAAAAAAGCTTCCTAAACCCTAAACTTCTCACACACTCCGCAGAAAGACGGCCGAGCTTCGCAACGGCGTCGCCCGTCCAGGGGGCCCCGAGCTCCAGGGCCTTCTGCTGCACCTGCAGCTACGGCTTAGGGTTTAGGGTTTAGGGTTTAGGGTTTAGGGTTTAGGGGTTTAGGGTTTAGGCTTCTTTGTTTGTTTAAAGGGCCTCTTGTAAGGGGACTATATAGAGGCTTTCGGGTTTAGGGTTTATATAGAGGGTTCGATAAGGCTTTCTGGAAATTCACAGGTTCCATAAAGGCTTAAGGGTTTAGGGCTTATGTAAAGGGCTCGATAAGGCTTTCTAGGTGATGCTTCTATAAGAATCTTTCTATGAGGTTTCTACAAGCGTGGATAGGAGCTTCATAAGCTTCTCGGGGGGGGTCCGAGAAGGCTCTGTGCTGAGTAACCCTGTGGTCACTCTTGGGGAGGGCAAGCTACACCCAGAACTCAAGGACCTTCTCGAGGATTGTGCTTGGAACGGCAAGGCGCAAAGAGTGTCTCCGGAAAGGCAGCTAGGGATGCAAACACTGAATTCTTGTGTACAGGGACCAGCGGAGGCACAAGCCTGTCTTCAAAACTCCGCCCGCCTACCTCCAACAGCTCCAAGCCTTGGACCCTAAACCTGTACCCAATCCGCCATGATCCGAAACACCTTTTCCCCCATCTTCGGAGAGAAGATCACGCTGAGATGCCTAAGACAAGCAACGAAACTGCAGTTTTACCTCCCACATGTTCACATGTACAATTTTCACATGCAAGCATCTTCTGGACCGCTGCAGAAGAAGAGGGCTTAGAGTTTTTGGGCTATGATGTAAGGAAGACTCCACTGAGCTCCAGCACTGTCTCGTTGAATCTTGCGAAAGTCTTCAGGTCGTACTTGATCTCCGAGGCTTTGCTAAAGAGGCCGCACCCCAGCATCGCCTGAAAGTGCCGAATGCAGCGATGGCGAAGGTCAAGGTGTGACCAGGTTTAGGGTTTAGGGTTTAGGGTTTGGGGTTTAGGGTCTACCGAGGAAGACTTCTCGCTTATGAAACTCATGAAACAATTTCTGGACGTAGACGTAGCCAATCACTCAATGCTTTTCTCCGCCAGCGCCTCATCAGACATGAAGGCGACTTTCTTCGGGAAAGCGCGGCATAACCTCTCTGTGGCTTGAGGCGGCTTCGAGATGCAACTCCAAAACCCGGCCACGCTACCAGGACCTGCCCTTTGTTTCGGTATGGGTCATTCCCTTCGATTTGGGCGAAACAAGTTGAAAGGCCTGCAGCTTAAAACGCAAGACCCCAAAAAACAAAAGTCGATAGCCCTGGAAAAATGAACCCGAACATTGAACGCCCAGCCAATCGCAAATCACCCAACCTTGCAGCAGGCAAGCACCAAAACCTCAAAACGCTGAGGCACCACCAAGAACCCCAAACCCAAACTAACCGAAACTCCTAAAGCCTCAACCCAAAACAACAGCACGTGCCCGTGAAGCGGTAGAGCCACAGGACCTAAAGCCCAGACCCTGAAACACCAAACCCAAGAGCCCCAATGCCCTAATGCCCCAAAACCCTAAAAACCCTCCGACCCTTGAGGCCTCAAACCAGGCCAAAAGCTTCCACAGCTGCAAAGAAGAGCATCTACAAAAAAGAGCTTCTAAAATAGTGAGAATAGGGTTTTCGGGGCCTTGAAAGGGCTCTATCCAGGGGTTGCTATAAGGGTTATATAAGGGTAGTATAGGTATAGGGGCTTAATATTTAAAATAGGGTTTTCGGGGCCCATTATACTATAGTTCTAAAAAGGAACGCCCAAAAAAGTACGGGGGATTATGAAGGCCCCTATATTACCGGGCCCCAATGACCGATCTTCTGACGCGGGGCACCGCCGACGCGGTGGCCGGGCCAACTCCAGCCAGGGCGGCGTCCAAGGCCTCTTGAAATGCTTTGGGCTTTAGGGCCCTCAGGGTCCAGGGTTCAGGGTTCAGGGCCTTTAGGGTCTAAGGTGAAGGCCTTTAGGCCGAGGGTTGAGATGGAAGGACGAAGTTGATGGCAGTTCAGGGTTCCGGGTTTAGGGACGTAACGAAGGTCGCAAAATGTGAAGTATTCACTGGCTTGGTCGAATGATTTTTTCAAAAACAACAAGTTTTGCTATAAACCCCGGTAGTCATGACAGTTCGGAAGTACAAACTTATGGTGCGGTGGGTGAAATCAGGAGCGAGCGGAACAAGGATGAAACAGGTCATGCATTTCAGAGATGTGGCGGACAATGAAAGTATGCTACGTGTAGACAAACAGACCAGGGTTTGGGGTATATCATACTACCATAAAATAGTAAGGAGCCCCGCCCAAAATAGTAGCGGCAATTATTTAGGCCCCTCTCTTACCGCCTGCCTTCAGGGCCTTTGCCGGATCCTCTTCGATGCTCTCTGAAGCAGCCCTGAGCCAGCGGTCTGAAGCAGATTGCAGGCTCAAGGACAAGGGACCACAACAGCACCAACTGGAGCGATTGCAGCCTTCGCGCCGAAGTAACATGTAGGCAACGAACTCACGTGCCCAAATAAAATAGATCGGCGACCTTCGGCAAAAGCCAAAGCCCTATTAACAGCGTGTTAAGACAAAGTGGCCTAACAATGCCGGGTTTGCGATGATCCTGGGGACGGATTCGGCTCGACTACCTCCGAAAACCCTTTCGTTCATCAGAGCTTAGAACTCTGCGGGCTGAGGCTCGCAAAAGCTTTCTTCACAGCTTGCTCAGAGTTCGACTGCACCTCGCGACGGGTCTCAGGGAGAGCGGGAGATCCAGAACCGGAACATCTGAACTCAGCAGACCACGGCGGAGGTGATTTCAGTGGCGATCACGACAGGAGGAAAAACAGGATGAGGACAAGGATGACCATGTGGATGGTGACGACGATTGCATCAGACACGAGTATCACGATGACAGCGATGACGAGAAGCAGCAGGATGAGGCGGGTGAGGGCCAATGCAAAAGTGCCAGATCTCCGGTAAGCTGTGTCGACTTAGTGCCGGAAGTAGAATCTTGGAGCATTTGTGCCAAGGGGTTGGCTTGAGTCGTACTCGTCCGAAAATTACCAGCTGTGGCTACTTGAACATCAACTAAGCATTTAAGATGTTCATGCCAGCAGCACAATAGTTATGCAGACTGGACCCACGACAATTAGTAAACATCACGACTGAAATCAGAAATGTCGTCGCAATCATTGATCGAGTAGTACACATGATCGTACGGATACATTGCACTGGCTCTAAGACAGCAGCAGTTCTCTTCCCATGTCCCTGCCTTTTGCAGGAGGCCTGGTCTGAAAGTTCCACGCGACAGCTTCCACTCCGCCACTTTGCAGACATAGGCCTTTCCGCGATTCCCGGAGCTTATCATCTCTGGGTCCCAAACCGCGAGTCCACAGCACATGGCAATGCCTCAATCCCGAACCCCTGAAGCCCTGAGCCACCAAATCGCTTAAACCCCAAATCATTGCAACCCTAGCACTGCTAATAACCTGAAGCAGATCCTCAAACGTTGGCGAATGTTCGGACGTGCATCTCTGTCTCTCTCTCACTTTGGCTTGTTCCCGTGGTCTCTATGAAGCTTCTTTCGCAAGGATGGTTTGGGCTTCGATGTTCTGGTTTCCGCGGGTTAGGATTTACTATACTGAACTTAGAACCCTAGCAACAATTAAAATTTTAGCTGTTTCTTAGGGATTATAATAACCAAAAATTAAAAGCTATTTCTAAGTACCCCTAAGTTTAGGGTTTAGGGCCACAGTGTGCATACATGGACGCAGCTTCCGACTGCGAACTCTGCCGGAGCGGAGGCGAGAACACGACTCTGCGCCGGCATCAACTTTCCTTGCCGACGGCGACTATCAAAACGCTTCATGGCATGCCAACTTTCGATTCAGTGGCCACCCCACTTGGGCATTGGGCGAGCAGAGTGTTCGGGTTGATGCATTCGCGGGGTGTTAAGATAGAAAAAGCTACACTCGAAACGAAGAACCCTTATAACTTATTCTCTCGCTGGCAGTCTTGCTGATTTTCTAGACTTCCACCACATGCAAAGTGAAAGCTTGCGTGACATGGCATACAGGCTCTGCGATTGTACCCGTCGGCCTTGTCAACTTCAGCGCCTTTTGCTTCCTCCGGGCCGTTGTTTTGCAATGGCTTGTTGTGGTTGGGACTTCGAGTTACGAATTTCGAAGCAACGGAGTAACGTAGGAATACGGCCAGTTGGTATGTTCTAGTGACTCGTATAGTTCTCGTCATAAGGCTCCCCGATACGGGTAATCGCTCGGGCTTTACATTGCCTGGGATGGACACAAGCAACGAGCGCGTGCATGGGTTGAATCTTCGAATTTTGAGGATGACCCAACTTGGAGGGGCAAGGGACTTAGTAAGTAGGTTATAAGTAGAGTTATAAGTACCCTAAATGGAGTTACCCCAATGATAACCCGACTTATACACGACTTACTAAGTCCCCTGTCCCTCCAAGAAGGACGCAGAATCCTGCTCCGAAAGTTTCAGTGCGCAGTTTTGGTCCTTAAAGTTCCACCCTCCCCACCAATCCCCCAACAAAAACACACACACTTCGGAATCACCCTGTTGGGGAAGGCAGATCGATACACACGGATAGCACTCAAATTTTTAAGGATTGCCAGCTGCTACGCCGAGCCCAGGCACATCCTCATGCGAACCCCCAGCTGCCACACTGAGCCCAGGAGCATCCGCATGACAGAATGAAGATACAGGTACGTTTACAGCACCACACCGCCAGGCTCTTCGTTGGCTGCCCCCTGACGGTGGGTGGAGCAGCCCCCTGCACTCTTCTACAATTTCAATCACACGCAGATGCAACTTCACAGAAAACCCGTGGACCAACAGGGCTTGTGCCCACACACACCACCCGGCCCTTCCAGGACCAGGATGGCAGTCAACACGAGTAGATTTGTAACGACCTGCACTGCACGCAAATACTGTCCCGCTCATGTTTTTCCCGACGCCTGCTCCACGACACTGCTGAAATTGAAACTCCCGAGCCTGCTGTTTTGACTTGCTCACACAACTGACCGAAACCTTTTGGCCTTTGCTGGAAGAGCCCGGTGCAATTCGTGACGGCTAAACCCCAGTTCCAAATATTTGTGGGAAAGTGCACGAATTTGAGCTGGCACATCCTGTTTTGGATACACCTGCGCTGCCACGATTAACACCCTTGCACGATATGACGCAAGATTTGCATTTGCAGACCCTGCGCTTTGCGGAACTCTGTACTGCCAGTTTTCTTCAGGAATGTCAAACGTTACACGGCGATCATGCACAGACACCCGACACCCCAACAACTCCTCCACGTTACATGCTTCGAGCATTACCGGAGGCCCATAGAAGGTAGGCATCACCAACTTTTGAAAAGCATCGCCTTTCAAGCACGTTCGAGGAAACAGCAGAAAGCGATTGTCGACATACCGGAGAAACCAACAAGCCAAGCGATCAGAAGCCCAGCATTGCCTCAACCCCCGGACCCAACAATCTTCCTCCATGCAGACCGCGATGTTGCACAAACTTGGTGACAGCTGATTGCCTATTGGGCTGCCTCTCCTCTGGGCAAAGCATCGGCCAAGCACTGTGAAAGATGCAAACGAAAAGGAGAGCTCGATGATCCTCAACACGTCACCCGCAAAAACTTTTCGACAAGCCGATGCTCTGTTTTTCATAGGCTTTCCACGTAGGACACGTCCATATGAAGAAGCTGACTTTTCATCGACGGTGAACCAAAACTCTCCTCGGTTTTTCCCGCCTGACTGCTTGTTGTCAAAAAACCTGTCCAACGCGAGTTCGCAAGCACGCTTTAAGCGTGACACTGGGATAGAAGTGAAAAATCCAGCGAGATCGTCATTGACCGTCACATACTCTTGCGCTTTAGCATGAGACAAGCGGTCGAGAAAGCCATGAAGCGAAGACCACAACTCGTGCAGCTTCAGTTTGCCAAAGTTCGCAGGGAAAGCAACATGACAGACTTCATTCAGCACGCAAGCCACAATCTTGCACAACCGACTCAAACACGACCCGCGAAAGTTGATGATTGACCGAGCCTGCTTGAAATCTTTTTTCTTTTTCAAAAACACATAGGCCTTGGGTAGCACATACGTCTCTTTGATACCCCACGCGTACCGAGATTTCAACTGACAAGGTATGGCATCAAAAGCAGACTTCGCAATGGAATAAGGATGACCTGCAAGTTCACAGTACACGTCCTTGTCCTCAAACGTACTCAACACTGCGGAACGGTACAACTGCGGACAGAAAACCATGATTTGGTTGTAAGCGTGGTCTCGAGAGTGAACAACCAGGTCCTCCATCTCTTGGGCCGCCCTGAGAACGTCAGACACGGAGAATCGTCCAGACACAGCTTTGACATGTGCACGAAACTCAACGCTCAGAAATTGCAACCACTGCTGTACGACCTCGTTGACTGGTAAATGGTGGTGCTCAGCCCACTTGCCAACCTCTTGCACAGAAATGTCCTTGTACCTTTGGTAGCGAGGGAAAAAACAACAGCCTGCAGACGACCCGAGAAGACGTCGCAAATGTCTTGATACCGACAACCGCGAGGCTGGTGATGCAACGTGGCCGTCTATGCACTCAAGCTCCGGATGTTTTTGCAGCACGGACTGGCAACGACACAGCTCCTCACCTGGGCACTGCGAAAACTTTTTTAGCCACAGTCGAAATGTAAAGAGTTTTTCGCCCACCGATCCATGCCTTTTTTCAATAACATCCTTCGTCGGCAGATGAAACGGCAACGCCTTGTGTGCAAACGTTTTCCGAACGTGCACAACCCATTTTTTCACATTTTGTTTGAAAAACTTGTTCGCAAGCAACGGAATTGCTAAAGATTTGGCGAATCGTGGGACTGCCAGCCCCTTGTACACAAGGACAGCACGCAACCGTTTTTTTGCAACACCTCGGTATGGCTCCTCCAAGGCGCTTGCCAGTCTGTCCAATGCATACAAGTTTAGACTGTTCGTCTGAGCTGCGAGTAACTTCTGCATTTGCCATCCTTGCCCGTCCAACTGAGATAGAAGAAACAAGATTGACCACGCCGATGATCTGGAGAGAATTTTACCACCCTGTGAACCAAATTCAGTCACAACCTTTTGGATTGTTTTTGACCGCCTTCTCAACTTCAAGAACAACCTCTTACCGCACCTTTGGGCAGCAGCTGCATGCTTCTTCGCTACTTTCTGGACGGTAACGTGGTCTCCTTTAAAGACCAGTTTGTTTGAAAACGGATAGTTTAAAGGTGGACGCCAGTTCTGTACAAAGAGATGTTCCAATGTCCACGCTTGCGCGTAGGAGCTTCCAGCGGCCAAGACAATCGGGACGAAATCGAAAAAGTTTTGGCGACAAAACCACCACTTCACAGCAGGCTCAGCTTGAACAAAAGAGGATTGAAACAATTGGTCGTGTTTTCGGACTCGAGCATACTCGCGTTCGAACATCCCGACTTTCGTGGATCCAATGTAGAACATGTGAGAGCTAAGAGAAAACCGGCGCCTGGAGCAACTCTCAGTAACACCAGGCACGCGAATGTAGACAACGAGACTCTGATTGAAAAACTGCCAACTATAGCTTCGAGGTGAGACATTTTGACGCAGCAACCTTCGCTTCCACTCAGCGGCCTTGAAAGACAACCTTTCGGCAGAAAACAACACAGTTAGCCACACAAAGCCGGCTACGTACAAGGCAGCCCGCTTGATGGCTTTGTTTGGAAAAAGCAAGGCACACTGTAGCACCATGCAAAGTGTGGTTAAAAGAGAAAAACACCGGTACGAAGCGGGACATCAGCTAGCGAGAACATGCGCTGCCGCAATGATGCGGATCAACTCCTTGTCCTTTGCAGAAGAAGCTTGCTTTACACTCAAACCCCACTCAGCAGCAACGTCCGGGAGGCTTGCCAACTGCGGTTCCGACAACTGTTTGAAAACTTGCTCCGCGTCTTTGATGGCCGTTTTGATGGACGCTTCTTTCTTCTTGGGCAACTTCCGGATCCAAGCATTGACGCCCTGGGCGGTGACGGTGGCGGGGTAGTTTTCTCTCAAAGGCTTGACTCCCGAGTCGTTCTTCACAAGGGGTGACGAAGTCACGTGCTCAACGGGCAAGTTGTTACCACCTCGGCGAAGACGCTTGCTGGTCGGCGGGGCAGGCGAGCGCGAGGGAGACGACTTTCGAGAAGCAGCCTTTTCTGCTTCAAGCTCTTTCACCCTTTTTCGGAGCTCTGCAACTTCATGAGCATCAGACGATGAACACGGCGGGGCATGAAATTTTCGGATAACACTCAACGCTTCTGTAGCCAATTCCTGCACTGCTTTGTTCTTGCCGTCCTTG